GAGGCAGGCGGATCTCTGTGAGTTTGAGGCCAGTCTGGTCTACATAGTGAGTTCCAGGGCAGCTGGGGCTACAAGGAGACCCTGTCTCAAAAAAAGACTAAAATAATAATAATAATAAGACAGAAATAAGCTAAGTTCACTTTTTGAGTCCAAAAGATAGTATCCTTGGTTAACTGATAGGTTTTTGTGTGGTGCTGGGGATCAAACTCTAAGCCTTATCACTGAGTTACCTCCTCAGTGTCTCCCCACATTGAGTTACTGGAGGCCCCCTCAGTTCCTTGAGGCAGAATCTGTAGGTCCTTTAAATCTACCTTACTGTTTATGTGGAAACCTCAAGGATGTGTAGCCATTTTTATATTCTCAATTAACAATGAGTGCCCCTCAGCTAACCCTTATTGGCTACGATGCTGCCAGTGCACAAAGCCTGCTTTTCTATTCTCTATCCCCAAACTGCTGCGTTCACGCCTGCTCCATCTCTTCTTAGACAGCAGTGCTTGCCACTCTGCCACCATTCCCTTCCTTCCCGCCAGCTCCTCAGATAATACGTTTAACGAACATACTGCTTGACACCATTTTTAAGTGTCTATATAGGTTACAAAACCAAAAAACATGAACAGCAAACACGAAGAGAAAAACGGGGAGCGGAGAGCTTAAACAGAAATCACACCCTCTGGTGAGATCGCAGCCCAGCACTTAGGAGGCGGGCAGAAGACGGCGGGTTTAAGGTCAGCCTGGGATGTACAATGAGACCACATCTTTTTTTTGTAAAGGGGGCCTGGGAGTTTAGCTCAGTGATAGAACACTTTCCTAGCTAGTAAGCACGAAGCCCTGGGTTCACTAAGCAGCAGTGTAACAGGGGAGGGAGGGCTAGAGCACAGAAAGGGAGAAGGCATTATCAAAAATGAAAATATTACACCAGGCAGGGTAGTACACGCCTGTAATCACAGCACTTGAAGGGCTAAGGCAGGACGTTTGCCATGAGTTCAAGGGCAGCAGGGGCTACAGGCACTCAAGGCCAGCAAGGACTTGTAGCAAGCCAGGCATAGTGGCTCATGCCTATAATCCAGTCCTCAGAGGCCAGAAATAATAGAACTGCAAGTCTGAGGCCAGTGTGGACTACATAGTGAGACCCTGTCTCAAAAGAAAAATTGTTTTTAAACCTGGGAGAAGTGGCCTATGTCTTTAATCCTACCACCTGGGTGGTAGAGACAGGAGGATCAGGAGTCCAAGGCCAGCCTTGGCTATATAATGAGTATGAGGCTAGCCTGAGATGAGTAATGAGTATGAGCTACATGAGATGCTGTCTTAGAAAACAAAGAACTAAAACAAAGTAAGAGCAAGTATCCAGAGTATTTAAAAAGATCTTAAAGTTCAAGGATAATAATAAACCCCTAATTTAAAAATAAGCAAGAATGTCAGGCGTGGTGGTGCATGCCTTTAATCCCAGCACTTGGGAGGCAGAGGCAGGCGGATCTTTGTGAGTTTGAGGCCATCCAGGTCTACATAGTGAGTTCAGGACAGCTGGGGCTACAAGGAGACCCTGTCTCAAAAAGACTGAAAAAAAAAAAAAAGCAAGGGATCAAATTAAACCTTTCTTTAAAAAAGATAGACAAGTGGCCAGTAAGTTATGAAAATATGGTCCACACCATTTCTCATTTGGAAAATGCAAACCTTAATCCTCAGTGTGATGCCACCACACCCAGGAAAGATGGCAACACAACGGTGAAAAGACAGTAGCAAGAGTGGGCAAGGGGGAACCTGCAGTGCAGACCCCGCTAGGAGAATGGAAAATGGTGCAGCTGCCTTGGAAAAGCTTAGCAGGCACGTAAAAAAACCTCAACACAATAGCATCTGATCCATCAATCCTACTAGATCTATACTTCAACACACAAAAATGTGCACACAAAAACACATAAAGTTCACAGCCATATTATTTATAAAACCTAAAGTGGACACAACCCAAATGTCCATTAAGTTATGAATAAAATAATGTGTCTCTTCCTAGAACATACTAGGGTCAATTCCAGGTATCTGTAAATGTTAACTTTACCTCAGGCCAGCTGCTGGGATTACAGGTATATGCCATTATGCCCAATTTATTTGTGTGTAGGGAGTGTGTGTGTAAAATGTGTGGTTACAGGATAACTTGCAAGAGTCGGTTCTCTCCTCAATCATATGGGTGCCAGCACCAGAGTATCTTCAGACCTCTCAGGATGTCAGGCTTGACTGGAAGCACTTTTACAAACCTGCTGCACCATTTTGCCAGCTCAGGCCCAGTTTTTAAACAATGCTATGGGTCCAACTCAGGGTTCCATGAATGCTAATCAAGAACTCCATCAACTGAGCTATGCCCCCAGTCCTTGATTTTGCTTTTTGAGACAGGGTCTCATGAAGGCTAGGCTGGCCTGAAACTTTCTACATAGCCAGGAATGACCTTGAACTTTTGATCCTCGAAGTGCTGGGATTATAAGTATGTACCCTCTTGCTTAGTTTTTATCAGAGCTGGGGATGGAATCCAGTGCTCTGTGGCTATAGGCACTCTACCAACTGAGCTATCTCCAGCCCCAGGAAATAAAGGGGACAGTAATGCAGCTCAGTGATACAGTGCTTTCCCAGTACATACGAGGCCAGAACAATAACAAAAAAAACAAAAACAGAACAAATGTGGAAGCAGAAGCAGAGAGAAAGCGGTCATCTGACAGCAAAGTGGGGGCTGAGGCCCGGCAGCCACTGTCAGCGGCAGGAAGAGTGAAGGCATTACCCAGAATTTCAGAGGGAGCATGACACTGGGCTACAGAGGGAACTTCTGCCCCAAATAAAATTAGAACTCTGGGGGCTGGAGAGATGGTTCAATGGTGGAGAGCTTGCTGCTCTTCCAGAGGACTAGAATTTGGCCCCTAGCACCCAGGTTGGGTAGCTCACAATTACCTGTAACTCCAGTTCCAAGGGATCAGATGCCCTCTTCTGATCTCTGCAGGGACCCCCCACACACACACACAAAAATAAATCTTAAAAAAGAACACTAGACAGGTGTGGTGGTACATTCCTTTAATCCCAGCACTCAGGACACAGAGACAGATTTCTGAGATCCAGGACATCCTGGTCTACACAGTGAGTTCTAGCTTCTAGCTCAGTCTACAGGGAAACTCTTGTCTCACAAAAAAAAAAAAACACTAGAATTTAAGGCAATATATTTCCTGTTTTAATTCACCCAATTGCTGGCAAGTTGACTATCTCTTTACCCAAAATGCTTGGGACCAGAAGTATTTCAGACTTTTTTGGTCTTTTACTTTGGAATATGTTAGGGTTGAACACCCCTGACTGGAAAATCTGAAAATCAAAATGCTCCACCTTTTTTTTTTTTTTTTTTTTTAAATTTTTGGTCTTTTTGAGATAGGGTCTCCCTGTAGCCCCAGCTGACCTGGAACTCACTATGTAGACCAGGTTGGCCTTGAAATCCCAGTGCTGAGACTACAGGGGTGTGTCACCACGCTCAGCTCCAACATTTTTTAAAGCATCATATTGATGCTCAAACCTACTTAGACTTTGGAGTATTTCAGACTTTAGATTTTTTTTTTTTTTTTTAAATGAGGGATGCTTAGCCTGTACTCTGTTAAACAATCATAGGAAACAGACTTAGGTACAGGGAAATGGGGTACTCTAACACCTACACATGGAGGCTTCAGAACTGGGCAATGTGTATAGGAAGAATTCTAAGGTGCACGACAGTAAAAGTTTAGATCATCTTGCAGGGTCTGTTGGAAGGACCAAGGGTTTTAAAGGTGTTTAGCATGTAGACCGTGTTTAGCATGTAGAGGGCACTGGGTTTCAATCCTTAGTACTAAAGATAAACAAAATATGTAAAAATGAGAACGACAAAGAAAAGCAAGTGAGGTGCGGAGGTGCAAGACCACAGTGTGGAACCAAACCAAATCAGGGAGATGGGATTGCAATAATTTTATATAGTACTTAAGGGAGGGAGGGAGGGAGGGAGGGAGAGGGAGTGGGATGGGAGCCAGCACCCACATAGTGGCTAACAACTGTCCAGTTCAAGAGGATTCTACACCCCGTTCTAGCCTCCATGGGCACTGTACACACATGGCACACTTACGTACATGCAAGCAAAACACTCATATACATAAAATAAAATAGGGGAAGGGAGGGGGGAGGGGGAAGGGGAGGGGGAAAGGAGGAGGGAGAAGAGGGAAAGGAAGGGAGTGGAGGGAAGGAGGCAGGCAGGCAGGCAGGCTAGAAATGAATCTTAGGTCTGGTGAGATGGCGCACCAGGTAAAAGCGCTTGCCTGGCACCTGGTGCCTCAAGTTCGATCCCTGTAACCCATGTAAAAGTGGAAGGGAAAAGCTCCATAGCGTTGTCCTCTGACCACCAAATGTGGGGCATGACTTGTGCCATTCATACACCAACAACAAGGAGAGCAGGATGCACTCCTGTAATCCCAGCCCTGGGAAGGCAGATCTTTGTGAATTTGACCCTGGTCTACAGGGCCAGTTTCAGGCCAGCCAGGGCTACATAGTGAGACCTTGTCCCCAAAACAGAGAGAAAAAGGAAGGGCGGGCGGGCGGACTGACTGACTGACTGAATCTGGCCGCGGGTCCTCGATGCTGAGCTGAGGCCAGCATACTCCCACCCTTGGGGAGGCTCAGGGGGTCACCGGTCTCTGCTGGGTCTCGCAAAGTGTTACTTCTGCAAATTAATTTTTCGAGGCTCCATTGCCCTGGCTCCGACCCTCCTGCACCTCACTCCCCTAAGCACAGCAAGCCACTCAGCCCCCAGCCCAGCATCTCCTCCCTCAGTCCATCACCCTCGTCCCTGACCGTCCTCAGTCCATCACCCTCCTCCCTCACCGTCCTCAGGTGTCACCCTCCCCGCGGAGCCCCCTCTACCTTATTCCCCCCATCGCCCCCTCCCCAGACCCCCAAGCCCGGTCCGCACCGCCCCCCCCTCCCCCCCTCCCTCCCCGCCGGTCACCTTGGCAGGCTGACCCATGACTCCACGCGCTAGGGCCTGGCGTCCCGCGGATCCGCCAACCAATCAGGGCCGGGGCGATGACGGCCCGCCCCCGAGCAGCAACCAATCCAATCACCACGCAGCCCTCCTCCTAGCCCCGCCCTCTCCGCAAGACGAAGGAGGGGCGTTTGCTAAACCCGTACCAACTGTAACACCGCGAGAAGCGGCGGAGCCTCACGACGGAGCAGAGGGGGAAGTGGCTGGGATGGCGTGTTTGTTAGAAGCAGAGCCACTTCCGCCCTGGAGGCCGCGGCGCTCAGGCATTGGGTATCGCCTCTTATGGGAGGGTTTGGATCGTTCAGGAGAGCGTCCGCACGTCAGCGTTTCCCGGTGCGACTGCGTTCCGGTGCGAGCGCGTTCCGGGAAGCGTACACCAGGCCAGTCGCGCCTGCACGGACTCCGGAAGCTGCCGCAGTCCGCTTCCCACTCCCGCCTCCAGCAGGCTGAGCCACCTGCTCATAGCAGTAACGGCCAGAGCCAGGGTCTACGCTTTCCCGGACTCCGCCCTCCTTCCGCCTCCGGCCTACGCGGCCTGCCTGCTGTTTGGCTGAAGGAGTAAATACTTGTTAATAACTATGTAATGCTTATGTAAACGGTTTTTAAATATTATTCTTATTTTATGTGTATGAGTGTTGCCTGCACCCGTGTCGTGCAGTGCCCGAAGAGGCCTGAAAAGGGCGTCGGACCCCCTAGAGCTGGAGTTCTGGGTGGGTCCCTGGAGTGGATGTTGGGATCAGAACTCGGGTCCTCTGGAAGAACAGCAAGAGCTCTTAATACTGTGCCATCTGTCCACCCCCTCTATATACATTTTAACTAAGGGTCTTGGGCATGTGGACAGAAATTTCAGTCTTGATCTATTTCATAATTTGCCTTCCATAACCCTATAACATTTCAAGTTAACTTTTAGGTCAAATTAACTTTTTATTAAGGATCAAAAATTTAGGGGGCTGGAGAGATGGCTCAGCGGTTAAGAGCACTGGCTGCTCTTTCACTGCACCCTGGGACATTACCCACATGTGGTGCACTAATGTATACATGCAGGCAAAGCACTCAGGGATAAACATAAAAATAAATTTTGGAAAAAAACTTAGAAGCTGGGCATGGTGGCACATGCCTCTAATCCAAGCATGGGGCCGGGGTAGGATCAGGAGTTCAAGACCAGCCTCAGCTACATAGCAAGCTGGAGCCCAGCCTAGACTACATGAGGCCTTGTTTTAAGCACTCTTCTGACCTCTGTGGCATTGCATGACACGGGTTCACTCACATACATGCAGGCAATACACTCAGACATAAAAATAAATATTAAAAAAAAAAAACCCTAAAAACTAAAAACAGTGGGACACAGTGGGGCTAGCCTTTAATCCCAGCACTTAGAAGGCAGAGGCCAGGGGAATCTCTGTAAGTTTGAGACCAGCCTGGTCTACGTAGCAAGTTCCAGGCCAGCCAAGGCTAGATAGTGAGACCCTGTCTCAGATGAATTAAAAATTTAAATTAAAAATGCAAGATTTTAACAAAGAATCCCCAAAGCCTCTTAAAGATTCTTTAAAAAAAAGACTCTCCAGACCGGGCGTGGTGGCACACGCCTTTAATCCCAGCACTTGGGAGGCACAGGTAGGAGGATCTTTGTGAGTTCGAGGCCAGCCTGGTCTACATAGTAAGTTCCAGGACAGCTGGGGCTACAAGGAGATCCTGTCTCAAAAAAAGACTTTCCAAAGCCTCTTGTCTCTGTGATCTATGTCGTGTTTTGTGTGTGTGTGTAGTCGGAGGATAACCTCAGCTGTCACCCTCAGAAATGCAGTCTACCTCTCTTGAGACAGGGTCTCTCGCTGGCCTGGAGCTCTCCAGCCTAGAGCAGCTGGCCTGGGAGTCCAAGGGGTCTTCCATTCTATGCTGCCGCAGCACTGGGATCACAAGTGCGCACCACCATGCCTAGCATTTTTTATAATTTCTGGAGCTTGGTAAAGGCCCTCATGCTTGCCAGGCAAGTAATTTACTGACTGACCCATCTCCCCAGCCATGTATTGTTTTTGAGGCATCTTGAGGATAGCAAGATAATAGTCATCTTTTAAAAATCATTATTGAGGTACATTAGATTTACAGAAGCGCATTTAACATAACCAATTAGAGTGTTTTGGTTTCTTTTTTAAGTGACAGGTGAGATGTTAACAAACATAAACAGGAGATTATTAGTCAGAAAGTGCTAGTTACCTCTGCTGCATTTCTTCCCATGGAACCGGGTCAGAGATGTATGAACTCAAATGCCAAAAATTTGTGATTATGTCACCTTATAGGACAAAGGGGCTTTGCAGGTGTGAGCTAATTAAGGATTTTGTGATAGGAAGTTTTCCTTTTTCTACAATTTTTTACATTTTTAAATTTTGTTTTCTTTCTTGGAAGTTTTTCATATATTGTCTGGTAGGCCCTTTTTAAACACTATTCTTGGGTGTGGTGGCACACGCCTTTAGTCCCAGCACTCAGGAGGTAGAGGCAGGCAGATCACTGTGAGTTCAAGGCCAGCCTGGTCTACATAGTGAGTTCCAGGCCTGCTGGGACTACAGGGAGACCCTGTCTCAAAAAGACCAGAAAAGTAGAAGAAAGCAGACACAGAGAGGTCTGAAGATGTCCAGGTGCTGGCTTTGAAGATGAAAGAGGCACAAACCAAGGGACACATAAAGTGCTGGTGATTTTAGTCTAATGGAACCAAATCTGACCCATGACTTACAGAGTGCCCCCTACTCATTGCCCCTCCCATTACCAAAGCGAGTATCTCCTTCCCCTGCTTGGTCACCACATCTCCTGTCTCCACTCTCAGGGGCCCCTGGTTATACTTGGTTAACCCAGATAATCCAGGATTCGCTCTACCTCAAGATACTTAATTTAATCACATATACGAAATACTGTTTCCTAGTATGGCAACATGTTCACAGGATCCAGGGATTAGGGCATGGGCATATTCTGTGAAGGTATGAGAAACAGCCAGCTGAGTTTTTTAAAAAGTTGACAGTATCTAAATGTCTAAAAGAACATTTTTTTTTTTTTGAGGTACAGACTTGTTACCCAAGTTAGGCACAGGGATCTTTCTACTTTAGTCTCCTAAGTAGCTGGGGTAAAAATATCACTTTTTTTTTTTTTTTGTCTTTTTTGAGACAGGGTCTCCCTGTAGCCCTAGCTGGCCTGGAACTCACTATGTAGACCAGGCTGGCCTTGAACTCATAGAGATCCGCCTGCCTCTGCCTCCTGAGTGCTGGGATTAAAGGTGTGTGCCACCATGCACAGCCACTTTTTTTTTTTTTCCAACTTTATATTTTAGAACACTTGCAAGTAAAATACAGAGGGGGCTGGAGAGATGGCTTGGTATTTAACAGCATTTGCTGTGCAATCACGAGGACTTGGATTACAGCACCCACGTAACACCTGTAACCCCAGCTCTGTGGTGGGGTGGGAAAAGGGCAGAGACAGAAGGGTTGATGGGGCTTGCAGGCTTCCAGTCTAGCAAGAAAATGTGAGCCCCAGGTTCAGGGAAAGACCCTGCCTCAAAGGAGCAGGTGGAGAGTGGTAGAAGTGGGCACCTGATGCCTTCTTCTGGCCTGCACTTGCCTCCACAGGCATGCATACCTGCACACACACAGATGTGCATACATTCACACAGACACACACTGTAAATAAATCCTTTTGAAAACAAAAGCAGAGTTGGTATAACCCTTTCATTCAGATTGCCCAAATGTTAGCATTTTGGTATAATTGTTCTGTCCATTTCCCAAATGTGTGAGAGTAAGTTGCAGATATGTCTCTATTTTTTTTTTTTTTTTTTTTTTTTTTTTTTTTGTCTTCTTGAAGCAGGGTCTCTCTGTAGCCCCAGCTGTCCTGTGGCCTTGAACTCACAGAGATTCGCCTGCCTCTGCCTCCTGAGTCCTGGGACTAAAGGGTTGTGCCACCACGCCTGGCTTTACTTCTGTTTTTAAAATCATTTTTATTTTACGTGTATGAGTGTATTGTGTACATGTATGTAAGTGCACCCATGTTGTCCATGTTGTGCAGTGCCCACAGAAGCCAGAAGAGGGCGTTGGATCCCCCAGAACTGGAGACACAGACGGCTGTTAGCCACCATGTGGATGCTGGGAATCAAACCTGGGTCCTTTGGAAGAGCAGACAGTGCTTTTAACTGCTGAGCCATCTCTCCAGCCCCCTTTACCTCTATTTTTAAAAACATTTTTGTATAGTTTGTGTGAATATGGATATGTATGTGGAGTTCAGAGGACACTTTCATTGGTCCTTTCCTTCCACCATGTGGATTCTGGGGTTTGAAGTCAGGTTCTCAGGGTTGGCAGCAAGTGCTCTCACCTGCTGAGCCACCTCAATGATAAAAATAAAATGAAAATAAATATGTGGGTTTTTTTCCCCACAATGACATTACATTAGTGGTCCTCAAAGTACGATACCAGGGCCCGAAGCAGCTATATAATCTGGACATGTGCTAGAAACCTAACTTGAAGACCCCCATCCCAGGCCAACTGATTCTGATGACTTTGCTGTAGTTATGAAAAGAGATTAACATGCCAAAAGGAATGTCGCAGATACAGACATTACTTAGCTCTCACAAATTGTAGCTGTACTGACTTTGATAGCAAAGTTGACAAATGGAACACATTTACGATTAAAGAGAACCACCATAAATAATTTTGTCAAATCAGGTTTGATGGCACATACCTGCAATCCCAGCACTCAGGAGATGGAGGCAGGAGGATCAGGAGTTCACCATCATCCTTGCCTACTTAGAAATTTGAGATCAGTCTGGGCTACACCAAGACCCTATCTCAATAACAAGAATAACAAGGGTTGAACATAGTACACACCTTTAATCTCAACACTTGGGAAGCAGAGGCAGGCAGATCTCTGTGAGTTTGAGGCTAGCCTGGTCTACATAGAGAGTTCCAGGCCAGCCAGGGCTACATAGTGAGACCCTATAAACAAAACCAAACAACTACAACAAAATTTTGTTAAGACAAAGTGGTCAAGCATCATATTGGACAGTTTGGGAGCGGTCTCTAAGTTTTTTTTCTTTTTATTTCATTTTTTAAAAAAGATGTACTTGGGACTGGAGAGATGGCTCAGTGATTAAGAGCACTGGCTGCTTGGTGGTGCAGGCCCTTAATCCCAGCACTTGGGAGGCAGAGGCAGGGGGATCTTTGTGAGTTCAAGGCCAGCCTGGTCTACATAGACAGCTGGGGCTACAGGGAGACCCTGTCTCAAAAAGACACCACCCCTGTAATTCCAGTTCCAGGGAGTCTGATGTCCTCTTCTGACCTCCTCAAGCATTGCACGACACAGGTGCACTTACACACATGCAGGCAATACATTTTTATACATAAATTAAAAATAGTATTTTTAAAAGATTTACTTTTTTTTTTTTTTTGGTCTTTTTGAGACAGGGTCTCCTTGTAGCCCCAGCTGTCCTGGAACTCATTATGTAGACCAGGCTGGCCTTGAACTCACAGAGATCTGCCTGCCTCTGCCTCCCAAGTGCTGGGATCAAAGGCGTGCACCACCATGCCCGGCCTAAGATCTACTTTTTAAAAATCTTTTTTTAATTTTTATTTTTTATGTGTATGCGTGTATTGCCTGCATGTAGGTAAGTGCACCCGCGTCGTGCAGTGTCTGAGGAAGTCAGAGGCTGTCTGATCCCCTGGGAGTGAAGTTACTGACAGTTGTAGCTGCCATGTGGGTGCTGGGATTCAAACCTGGGTCTTCTGCAAGAACAACCAGTGTTCTTAACTGTTGAGCCATCTCTCCAGCCCCAAGATTTACTTTTTTTTGTTTTGGTCTTTTTGAAACACAGTCTCCCTGTAGCCCCAGCTGTCCTGGATTCCCTATGGAGACCAGGCTGGCCTCAAACTCACAGAGATCCACCTGCCTCTGGTCCTGAGTGCTGGGATAAAAGGTGTGCACCACCACGCCCGGCAAGATTTACTTTTTAATTATGTATACGTGTCTGTGTTGGGGTATGTGCACACGAGTGCAGGTGCTGGGTGGAAGCAGAGGCATTGGATCCTCTGGAGCTGAAGTTATAGGCAGGTGTGAGGCATCTGATGTGGGTGCTGGGAACTGAACCTGGGTCCTCTGCAAGAGCAGTATATGCTCTTAACCACTGAGCCATCTCTCCAGTCCCTAAGGTTTGTTAGTGTGTCCACTTAGAGACTGTTAGGTAAGGTAGCCAAGAGCAGAATCCACTGAGGTGTGGAAGTGGAAGCTCACTGTGTAGAAGAAAATATAATCCAGGGGGACAGTGAAGTCTATTGGTGAAAGGTCTGTCAACAGTGACAACTGATGCCAACAGAGCTACTGTAACTGCAGTTATTTACAGAACTGTGTCAATGGAGGCCTTTCCTGACCCTGACCAGAAGGGAATGGACTAAAAAACCAAAAATGACAAAGTGGACACAGTACTAGAAAACACTTATAAATGAGCAAAGGGGCTGGAGAAATGGCTCAGCGGTTAAGAGCACGTGCTGCTCCTCCAGAGGACCTGGGTTCAGCTCCCAGCTCTCACATCCTTGGGTCACTCCAGCTCCAGCACAGCCAAGGCCCTCTTCTGGCCTCCACCGGCAAGCACACAGGACACATACTAAAGTAAAAGGGGGGAAGGGGAGCAAGGGGATGTGAAGAGAGGATGTGGGGATGAGGAAGGCTCTGTGCTTTCCAGGTAGGGCATCTTCCATTGTTCATTACTGCAGGGGGAAAATGTTCATAGAATAGTTTAAGAACGGCTTACAAAGAACTGATACCCGGGGCTCATCCTTACGTATTTAGAGTTAATTGATCTGCGGTGTTGCCAGGTTCACAAAGATTTTTAAAAGGTTCCTAAGTGAAGTGATTTTTTAGTACGAAGCTAAAGTTGAGAATCACTGCTACAGAAACAAAACACAACACAAAACCTGAATGCAAGAGGTGGAGAGTTTAAATGCTAAGGAGTCTCGGCAAGCAAACGTAGCCAGGGGTTAGAATAAATTTAAAACAAAACAAAACAAAACACCTTTTTTCCCCTTCTCAGGTAGCCCACGCTGGTCTCCAACTCGCTAAGCAGATGAGAATGGCCTGTACCGCTGATCCTTCGGCTTCCATCCCCCCAGGGGCTGGGATGTCAGGCGTGCAGAACAGGCCAGGATCACCTACGCGGTGCTGGGGACCGCTGCCCAGCGGGAGCCAGCACACCTTTTCCGATACGGCGCTCAGTTTTTCCCACCACCTGATCAGCGCTTCTTGCACTCGGGGGTCGCAGGTAAAATAGACCTCCCACTTCCCTTCCCGCCGCAGCCTCAGCGGTGGGGCCGACGCCAGTGCGCATGCGCAAGCGGCGAGAGGGCCCCCCCCCCCCCCCCGCCCCCGCGCCGGCCCGCCCCCAGCCCCCCCCCCCCCCCCGCAGGCTGGGCGCCGCTGCCGCGCGCTCCCGCCGTTCTTTTTTCCCCCCGTGGCCCCGGCGTGGGAAGGAAGGAGGGAGGCCGCTATGGCTGACGAGATCGCCAAGGCTCAGGTCGCCCGGCCAGGCGGCGATACCATCTTCGGCAAGATCATCCGCAAGGAAATCCCGGCCAAGATCATCTTCGAGGACGACCGGGTAGGCCGCGCTTAGGGAAGCCCGATAGTCTCCGAGGGGGCCCGATGGCTTCCGAGGGGGCCCGACATCCTCCGAGGGGGTCCGATGACCTCCGAGGGGGCCCGGTGTCTTCCGAGGGGGCCGGACGTCCTCCGAGGGGGCCCTGCAGGACAAACCGCGGCCGTCCCTTGGCCTGGTCCGGAGCCCGCGTGGCCCGGCCGCCTCCTCCCGGCGCGTGCGGCCGCTCCGGTTACCCGTTATCTGCCAGGTGCGGCCTCCCGGCTCACCGCGGGCCCGGGCCGGGTGTCGGGGCCCCGGGGCCGCCCGGGTCCAGCAGGTGTCAGCCAGCTCGCAATCTGGCCGGCGCTCTCAGGAAACCCGATCCGCCGAGCTCGGTGCAATCGCCGTGATCTCCCGCGCGCAGCCGGCCGGGCGCGGTGCCGGGGTCCCCGGGGGAAGGGACCCACCCTGCGGTGCCGCACCTGCCTCGGGTCCCCCACCCCCACCCCCCTGCAGCTGGAACGACCCCTTGTGCATTCCACCGGAAACAGTTTTCGTTTGAAATGCTGCTGTAGGTTTTTAGTTTGTTGAGATAGGTCGTATGTACCCCAGGATGGCCCCGAATTCGCTGCGTAACGACCAGACCCCGAACCCCTGATCCTCCCGCCTTCACCTCCCAAGGCCTGGGATTGCAGCCCTGCACCGCCACGCCGGGCTAGACCGGAAGGAGTTTTGTGCCAAGGGAGCTGGAAGGTTGTTTATGTTCATTTCGTGATAGGTGACATCCCACTTGACCGCCACATTGAAAACATCTTGTGCAAATTACCTGCTGGACTCTGTTATTATTTATAGGTGTGGGGTCTCACAGCTGGGTAAGAGGTTGGCCTTTTGAGATGGAATGTTTTGTAAGTAGTTTGTTAATTTCGCTCTAAGAAATACAGGATAAGAAGGGTGTGGTGGTGCGGGCCTTTAATCCCTGCGCTCAGAGGCTGAGACAGGCCGATATATGAGAGTTGGAGGCCAGCCTGGTCCGCATAGGGAGTTCAGACCAACCAGGCTGCACTGTAAGACCTAAGCAATGTGGTCTGGAGTGGTGGTACAGGCCTTTAGTCCCAGCACTCAGGAGGCAGAGGCAGGTGAATCTCTTGAGTTCAAAGCCAGTCTGATCTACATAGCAAGTTCCAGGCCAGCTGGGGGCTACAGGGAGATCCTGTAAGAATATGAGAAAACATTTTACCAGTAGTGTCTACACAGAGTGCTTCCTGAAATTTGGTTTGGTTCCTTAGGTGAGTTTTATTTAAATATCTCTGTCACCAGTTGGAAGGAAGTTCTTCTGTTTTAGGAGATTAAACCTTGGGCCTTGTGGGTGCTATTGCAAGCCCTGGAAAGCCGGTTTCCTTCTAAAAGTTTGAAGTTGTTGGGTATAGAGGCTGACATCTAACCCCAGCACTGGGGAGGCTGAGGCAGGACAAATGTCTTGTGCTATAGTCCAGCCTGGGTTATAGAGTAAGACCCTGTCACAAAAGCAAAACAAAATAAGCTGTAAACAAAGTCAGTGCAGCACTTGGGAAGTGGAGGCAAGAGGATCCAAAGTTCAAAGCCAGCCTGGCCTACATGAGACCTTGTCTCAAAGAGGCCAAAACCCCAAACAAAAGTTTTCAGTTTTATAGAATGATCTTTGAAATAATGACCTTTGAACCCCACTGCACAAGCCTGAAGCATTCTAAATGATTCAGCATTTCATAGAATATGAAGTAGAATTACTCCGGAGACAAAGAAATGTGAATGGTCTCTGCCCGGCAGCCTCAGCCTGCCAAAGAGCGTGAGAGATAGAAAATATTCATGTAATATGTGCATTGGCCAGCTCTCCCAGTGGCAAATCATTTGTCTACTTGCTACTTAACTGTAAAACTTGGAAAAAAAGAGCATAGGTGCATTCCTTAAACTTTGAGTAAAGTTGGAAGATTACTTTTTTTTTTTTTAAGATTAGTTAACCAGATATCAAAGAACCACGTGATTACAAAGCTGATCAGTCCCTGTGATCAAACTCAGGTTCTCAGGTTTGGTGACCTTCACCTTCACCTCCTGAGCCATCTCATTGGCCCCTGAATAGCATTTTTTGTTTGTTTGTTTTGCATATGTATGTACCTGTGGTATGCATGCATATGTGTTGGGTGCACACATGTGTGGAGACCCAAAGTTGGCGTTCCATGTCTTACACAGCCCTCCTCTTTATTTATTGAGGCAGTTTCTCACTGAACTTGGAGCTCACAGATTTGACTAGTGTGGCTGGCCAGCTTGCCCCAGGGATCCTGTCTGCCTCCTGAGCACTAGGATTCAGGTGGTTACCTCACCTGCCTCCTTTTTATGTGGGTTCTGGCGAAGCAAACTTCAGGCCTCTCACTTGCTAGCAAGCACTTTACCCACTGAGCCATCTCCCCAGTTTTTCAGTTAGACAAAGGTAGGGTTGAGGGTGGAGAGAGGTTCATTGCAGTAGAGGGAGCACCAGGGGAAAAGCCTCTAAGCTAGAGAACTGTAGACAGTGTGACTTCAGCCGGAGGAGTTGATGAGATCACCGCGGCAAGGATGGCCTGGCTGGTTTCTACTCATTAAGTCACAGATGCAGTGTTACTGCCTCAGAATTGGATTTTTCTGCTGATCATCCACACCTACACCTTAGTGATCACATTTTTATTTATAGTCTTCTCACTAAGACAAAGTTACATGAAAAGGATCCTGGCCCGCATGTATTGTGTCCACTTTTGTTAGCATCTAGTTCGGTGCCTCCCATGTGGTTAGTGCTTGATGACTATGTGTCAAAAGAAGAGGCTTTAGCCTCCCAGATGATATACTAAACCTTTTTCTTTCTGCAGTGTCTTGCTTTCCATGACATTTCTCCTCAAGCACCAACACATTTTCTGGTGATACCCAAGAAACACATAGCCCAGATTTCTGCTGCAGAAGAGGACGATGAAAGTGTGAGTACATTTCCAACACTTTTTATTTTCACTGCTCTCTAAATGGAGAGTAAATTTTGTTCTTTTTAAAGTGTGTGTGTGTGTGTGTGTATGAGACATGAAAGTCCGAGGACACCTTGTGAAGTTGGCTCTGTGCTTCCACTATGTGGGTCCTAGGCGTCCAGCTCAAGATGTCTGACTTGGCAGCAATGCCTTTACAGGCTGAGCCATCTCACCAGCCCTAAATTTTTTTTTTTTTTTGTCTTTTTTGAGACAGGGTCTCCCTGTAGCCCCAGCTGGCCTGGGACTTACTATGTAGACCAGGCTAGCTTCGAACTCACAGAGATCCGCCTGCCTCTGCCTCCCGAGTGCTGGGATTAAAGGCATGTACCACCACGCCCAGCTAGGAAAAAATAAATTTTGAGACAGTTTCCCTAAGTTGCCCTGGCTGGCCTTTTTAAAAAATTTTTTGGACAGGGTCTCCCTGTAGCCCCAGCTGGCCTGGAACTCACTATGTAAACTAGGCTGGTCTTGAAATCACAGAGATCCCCTGCCTCCTGAGTGCTGGGACTAAAGGTGTGCACCACCACACTTGGCAATTTTTTGGATTTTTGAGACAGTGTCTCACTATGTAGCCCTGGCTGGCCTGGAACTCACTTTGTAGACCAAGCTGGCCTCAAACTCACAAAGATCTGCCCTCCTCTGCCTCTGACCCTGGAGTGCTGGGATTATAAGATCACCACCAGGCCAGGTCTCTAAAATTTTGTTCTTAAAGCAATGTCACATTTTTCTTTTCCTAAAGTCGTTACTAAGGAAAAACTAAAACTATTAGGATACTTGGAAATACTGTATAGTTTGAATTTGATAAAACAGTTAAGTTTGGAAATAAGATACATTTTATTGGTATGTCATGACCAGGAATTTGTATAGACGTGAAACAGAGGCGTATACTGACAGGAACATCACCAATGGGAACTTCCAAATCTTTTAAGTAAACTGTATTAGTCACTTTTCTGTTGCTGTGATAGAAACACTGACCCAAGCAATTTATAGCAGGAAGAGTTTATTTGAGCTTACAGTTCCAGGGGAATTACTGTCCGTCATGGCAGGGAGGCATGGTGGCTGGAGGTGGCTGGAGCAGGAGCAGCAGAAGCTAAGCTCTCACATCATCACACAGGCACAGGAAGCAAGAGAGCGACTGGAGATCTGGCAAGGCTTAAGAACTCTCTAAGGCCACCCCCAGTGACGTGCTTCCTCCAGGATAGCCCCACCTTCTAAAACCTCCCAGAACAGCGCCACCATGTGGGGACAAAATGTCCAAATACCTGGAGCCTATGGGGGACATTTTCATTCAAACCATCACATACACTATAACTACCCAAAGTAGATGCCATCAAGTTCATGTATAGAACACAGTGAACTTCCATAGTTTGCAGTTACAAAGATGTATGTCTGCTGTGTCTAGAAGTTTAGCTGCCAAATCCGTAACTTGTAGGAGGGACTGGCAGTTGAGGCCTGTAGGCCAGCTCTAGGTGGTACCAATTTTGATAAAGTTTTACTGGAGCACAGTTGTCCATGTGTTTAATTGTTGGTCACACTACCTTTGCAGTATATAGAGCTGAGTAGTTTTATCTGGGTATGCTAGAATATGCCAGTAGGTGGGGCTGGCCTGGAACTTGCTGTGTAGACCAGGTTGGCTTTGAACTCAAAGAGCTCCACCTGCTTCTGCCTCCCAGGTGCTGTCATTAAAGCTGTGTGCCACCACGCCTGGCTTTATTTTTTGAAACAGGGTCTCCCTATAGCCCCATCTGGCCTGGAACTTGCTATGCAGACCAGGCTGGCCTCAAACTCAAGAGATCTACTTGCCTCTGCCTCCCAAGTGCTGGGATTAAAGGCATGCGCCACCACACCCAGCCTAGCATTTTTTTTTTAATGTGTGTGTGTGTGTATGAGTGTATGAGTGTAATGCCTGCCTGATATAAGTGCACCCATGTCATGCAGTGCCCCAGGAGGTCAGAAGAGGGTGTTAGATCCCCCAGAACTGCAGTTACAGATGGTCGTTAGCCACCACGTGGTGCTGGGAACAGAACCTGGGTCCTCTGCAAGAGCAGCCAGTGCTTCTTAACCACTGAGCCATCTTGAGCCCCCATTTCTGGTAGCCCAGGCTGGCCTCCTTGGCTGTGGCTGCTCATCCACTCTTGTCTCAGGCAGTGTAAAGCACTTTACTTCTGTTTGTCAAGAGTGAGCCAACACTCTTAGCATCTCATCTGGTACCCTGACTCTGGTGCGCTAACCTTGATCATGCTTATTTTTTGGTCCTGTCTTAATCTTCCACGCAAACTCCTTAGCTAATACTAAGATATTAACTTTTAAGAAAGCTGTGAGGACTGGGCTAAGGAGGTGGCTGAATGTGTAAAGTGCTTGCTATGCAAGCATGAGGGCTGGAGTTCAAATCTTTAGCACATAGAGCACTCAGTACTCCTAAGATGAGATGGGAGGAGACTCGCTGGAAGCCTGTGGACCAGCCAGCCAGCATATGCAGTGGTGAGCAACCAAGGCCGGGTCTCAAACAAGGAGGAAGGCGAGGACTGATAACCAGGATTGTTGTCTTCTCAAGGCCTGAGATAGAAGTAAAGGCATTCCCGTTGGGCATAGTGGCGATGCCTGTTAATTACAGGGTTCAGGAGGCTGAGGAAGGAAGATCCTGATTTCCACAGCAAGACTGTATTTTAAAAGCAAGACAGCTAGCTGTGCAGGAAAGCTCACACCTTTAATCTCAGCATTTTGGAGGCAGAGGCAGGAGGATCTCTGTGAGATCTAGGCCAGCCTGGTCTACATAGGGAGTTCCAGGCCAACCAGGCTATATAATGAGACCCTGACTTAAAACAAAAAGAAGGGGCTGGAACGATGACTTAGCAGTTAAGAGCACTGGCTGATCTTGCAGAGGTCCTGGGTTCCATTCCCAGCACCCACATGGCAGCTAACAACTGTCCATAATTCTTCCTAGTGAGGCTTAAGGAGCTTATTCCATTGTAACTGGCACTTAGGGTATTGGGTAAAGAGGAAAGCCCATCTATTAAAACTCCACTTACTAACAACCTTTAGGTACTGTTGACGATCTAATAGAGAGATATACTGCTCTTGGATCAGAAGGCCTAACAAGAAGATGTCATTTCTTCAGTTTAAAGTGTTGACTCAAATTCAGTTAAAATAAAAATTTGGATCTTGACAAGCGGTTGCAGAATAGCTGGGGAAAGTCCACAGGCCCAGCAGCAGTGGAAGACCTTGAAGGATAAGGTAAAGGGTTTACCCAAGCAGCAGCATTTTCTGTGACAGTCATATCAGCTCAAGGGTAATTTAACTTAAGAACAAAACAATCCAAATGCAAGTATGTGCCTTCAACATGACAGTCAGTGAGGGAAGGAAGGATTTGATTTTGTGTTGTGTTTGGTAATCCTTTACTATGGAAAATATCAAATATTCAGGGAAAGAGTAAGCACTGAGTCCTTGGATACTTACCAGGTAGCTCCAGCATCCACTAGTGGGTCCATCCTGATTAAACTTGACCCATAGCTCCTCACCCTTGTGTTCCCAATCACAAGCTTTGGAGGGTGGGATTTTTTCCTTTGGTCTTTTTGAGACAAGGTCTCCCTGTAGCCCCAGCTGACCCGGAACTCACTATGTAGACCAGGCTGGCCTTGAACTCAGACATCCACCTGCCCCTCCCAAGTGCTGGGACTAAAGGCATGCGCCACCACACCTGGCATGGAGGGTAGAATTTTAAACTGTTAGGATGAATACTGGTCATATCGAAAACTGAAATTGGGATACAACCTCATGTACTTGGTATGAAAATCAACTCAGGTACATTAAAGACCTGTTGGGAATGTTTGTTTGGGGAGATTTTTGTTTGTTTGTTTGGTTTTGAAACAGGATTTCTCCCTATATAGCCTAGGCTGGCCTCAAAACCACAATCCTCTAAAGGATATTTTATAAGATGGCACACACCTGTGATCCCAGCACAGACAGCAGGATCACAAGTCTGGACATCCTGAGCTATGTACATAGTGAGACCCTGTCTCAAAAAAACAAAAACAAATTTTATTTCTGATGGATCCTAAGTTTTTATTTGATTTGACATTGTGTGTGGGTTGGTGAGTGGGCACATGGAGGTCAGGCCAACTTTGTGAAGTCTCCTACCATTACGAAGGTTCTAGGCATCGGATTCAGGTGGCCAGACTTGCACAGCAAGAGCTTTTCCTCTGAGCCTTCTTGCCAGCCCTGGAGGGGCAGATTTTATGTCTGATGTTTCTTGAAATTCCTAATGATTAAGCACCTGACTTTTAGGGGGTTTTCATTGTAAACCATGTGTGTTAGAGTGAGGAGGTTCCAGATGTTTGACCAAAGTGGAATGTGTTTTCAATTTGGCAATTTTGTTTTTCTTTGGACTTCTGTTGGCTTCCCCCTCCGGCCTCTGCTTGGGAGTGCTGGGGTCACAGGCACGGCCCAGCGCCCAGCAGCATCAATAGGGCAGCTTGACTGTTTCCTCATGGTGGGCAGGCGGAACTGTGCATCTCCTGTGCTTAAGAAGTGTTCTTTCTCTTTCCAGCTTCTTGGACATTTAATGATTGTTGGCAAGAAATGTGCTGCGGATTTGGGCCTGAACAAGGGCTATCGCATGGTGGTGAATGAAGGTGCGGATGGGGGACAGTCTGTCTATCACATTCATCTCCATGTTCTCGGAGGTCGGCAGATGAACTGGCCTCCTGGTTAAGCTTGCTGGATGGGCCTGGCTTTCCCTCCTGTAGCTGATCATTAAGTTGGCAAGTTCCAATATGTTAAACGGCACACATGTTTTTGCCTGTATATGGAGAGATTGAAGAGATGATTTAAAAACTGTGCCTAATAAAAGACATTGATGTGTCCAAGTTGCTTTATTAATTAGGAAATGCATAGGTGGATGGGGAGGGTGGGTTAGTTCTTCACTTTGGAGGTCTCTCAGGTATGTGCAGCTGGGTATCATGCTTCCACATGCTAGGCAAGGGCTGTGCTCTGAAGCAGGCCACAGCCCAGCTTCTCAGAGCCTCTTCCTGCGGAGGCCCTGGCATTGAACATTGTGTTGTTGGGTGGTGTGGCTAGTCTTGGAGAAATTACAAGAGCTCATGGTTAACTTGGCCCTGTCCTCACAGGCTAAAACATCACTCAGCGTTTGGGTCTCCCCTTCTTCTCTTCCGGTTTTTGAGACTCTGTAGCTCGCCAGCCTAGGACTCACTATTTAGACCAGACTGGCCTTGAACTTCTTTGGAGATACAGGAAAATGGGACCTTTATATGTAACAGTTTTTTCTCCTCTTCTCTTTAGGTGATGGTTAAGCCGTTTGTGTAGACGGTATCTCCTTTTACATTTTGTTGCGTACCCTTTCCCACTGCCACATGATCTGTGAAAGTCATTCTCTTTTCCTCGGTTTTTTTTTTTTTTTTTTGGCTTTATATTTTATACTGAGGGAGGTCTGGGGAAGAGTTCGGAGAGATTCGTGCCATAGGTCAGAACGGAGCAAGAAGCAGTGGAGGGTCAAGCACTCTCCCGAGGCATTCTCCCTGTTGCTGACTTAGCCAGGCCAGTGTTAGTGCATCAGGAGGATCCCCACAGATGTGTCTTCCTGGTTCTGTCTATGACCTCTGTCTTAAATTGTCCTGTGGTGGACAGTCTCTAGGCTAGCCCATGGGGACCCTCTTCTGGTCTCCACATCTTTGCAGTCTGAACCAGAGCATGAGTTCTGACCTGAAGTGGTAAAGGATGTTCTGCCCTGCACCGCGGTTTCTTGGATTGCTCACTGCTGTAGGCCGAATATTTATGTCCTCCAAATGCCTTCCCTCTATGATGATGCTGTAGGGAGAAGGGGCCTTTGTTAGGTCATGAGAAATAACACTGGATTTGCCTTTGGAGAACTCATCTGCCATGTGGGGACCCAGTGAGAAGACACCATCTGTTACTGGGAAGTGGGCCCTCACCAGACTCTGGATTATGAGAAAAGGTTGTGTTAGAAGCCGCCCAGTCTATGGCATTGTCACAGCATCTGAAACAGGCTTAGGCTTTGGGGGACGGCAGCAGAGGCTGAGGACATTCAAGCAGCCACTGGAAAGGCCTGTGCTGGGACCTCAGCCCCAGTCAAGCCTTCCGTCAGGCAACTGTCAGTGTCTGGCATCAGCCTCATGAGACTCCAAGCAGAGTAGCTTCCCAATTCCCGGCCCACAGAAGCTGAGAATACTGTTCCGAGCCACTGTGCTTTGGGGTGAGCTGTTATGTAGCCATATGTCCTGTTCTTTATCCTCACCGAATCACCACAGTGCGTTTCCCCACATCTCCTCGGCCCTGAGGGCCTTATGCCTATAGTTTGGTAAATGAGATGGGTGAGGAACTGATCTACGCCATTTCCAAGCCCGAGAAACCTCTCCCACATTGTCCCCAGTATTTTCCTTGTCTCTGTTAGAAATACAGAACGGACCCAGGAGAGAAGTCGGGGAGCTGAGTGATGGAAGAAGCCCGAGTGGCTGACTGGAGCTGTGCACTCCTGGCACAGTTCAGGTTTTATTTATGTGATGCCACTGAGTTTTCAAGGTCTAGATAACAGCAGTTAAGAATGTGTACAAGCTGGGCATGATGGCGCCCGCCTTTAGTCCCAGTCTCGGGAGGCAGAGGCAGGCAGATCTCTGTGAGGTCAAGGCCAGCCTGGTCTATGTAGGGAGTTCCAGGTCAGCTGGGGCTACAGAGAGACCCTGTCTCAAAAAGACCAAAAAGCAAAAAATGTTTACAAAGCTGGATGTGGTAGCTCACACCTTTAGTCCCAGGCAGCAGGCAGAGGCAGGTGAATCACTACAGCTACAGAGCTGGTAAGGTGGCTCAGTGGGTGTGCTGAATAGCTTTAGTGTCAGCTTGACACACCTGGGTTGAGGGAACCTCAATTGGGGAATTGCCTCAGGCCTGTGGCCATGTCTGAGGGGGCATCTTTTTGAGTGATGTGGGAGGGCCCAGCCCACTGTGGGTGGTGCCACCCCTGGGCAGGTGGGCCTGTGTGGCATAAGAAAGCAGGCTGAGCAGGGGCCAAGGGAACAAGCCAGTAAGCAGCGTTCCTCCATGTCCTGTGCTCCAGCTCCTGCCTCCAGGTTCCTGCCCTGAGTTCCTACCTTGGGCTCCCTGATCAACTGTGACCTGGGAGATGTAAGACAAATAAACCCTTTCCTCCCCAAGTTGGTACTGGTCAGAGTGTTTGTCACAGCAATGAAGAACAAACTAGAACAATGGGTAAAGGCACATACTGCCAAGCCTGACAACCCACATGGTGGAGGGGAGAACAGACTCCTTCAGCTGTCTTCACTTTCATATGCATGCTGTCACACACATACACACACACACACACACACACACACACACGGTAAAGAAATTAAAAGAATGAGGTCTTTGTAGTAATATTCTATGATCCAGGAATGATAGAATCTTCCTGTATAAGGAAGCTTGAGGGAAACTCAATCAGCTTTCTGTACTATAACAAAATACTTGACACAACTTGTTTTTATTTTATTTGGGGGTGTGTGTGTCTTAATGTATAGCCCAGCCTGGCCTTCAACTCCAGATCCTACCCTAGCATTTGAAGTGCTGGGATTATAGGCATGTGCCACCACACCCAAAGGTTAAGTGGTTTGGGAGGTTCCAGTCCACGATCACACTGCTTTGGGATTGTGAAGAATCGGTGCGGTGTAGTAGAGTGTGCTCACAATCATGACCCAGATGGTCAACAAAGAGGAGGGGCCATGATCCTACAGCCCCTTCAGGACCCATCCCAGTCACCTAAGGACCTCTCCTATCCCCCACTTCCTAAAGGTTCCACCACTGCCCAACAGTACCACCTGGAGAACAAGCCTTTAATACGTGGGCTTTAGGACACTCAGGATTCACCTCACTATACTCCAGACTGGCCTTGAACGTGTGTGCTCAAGAGAATCCTCCCACCTCAGCATCCTGAATGGCTGGGGCTATAAATATGCACATTGTCTGGTTTATGTCCCTTTTTAATTTTACTTTTTTTCTGAGAGCATGTCAGGAAGAGGAGGCTCCTGGTAAGACCCTTTGCCTCTCTAAAACCCTCCATTCCTGGTGTGTTGTGTATGAGTGACAGCACAGGCCTGTCTAGGAGGTTTGAGGGATGAGCAGTGGTGGCACACGCCTTTAATCCCAGCACTCAGAGGCAGAGGCAGGTGGATCTCTGAGTTCAAGGCCAGCTGAGGCTACAGGGAGACCCTGTCTCAAAAAGACCAAAAAAAAAAAAAAAAAAAGCAGATGTTGAGGAAATACCTGGGTTAGCACAAGGAGACTTATGCTCAAAGACGTCTGTGGTAACTTTTTTTTTTTTTTTTTTAACAATGCAAGGGCTGCTAATAAGGGCTTGGTTGAATGAATTAGGTTTCACACCTGGAAATGTATAGTAGTCCACTGCTGTGGAAATCATTGTGGAAGCTGCTCAAAGAACTGAAGATAGACGTCCAAGTGTGCCGCACACCTGTAATCTCAGCACTTGGGAGGGGGAGGCAGGAGGATCCGGAGTAAGGTCATCCTTAGCTACCTGGTGAGTTTTGAGGCCAGCCTAAACTAGGCCTCAGTGGACTGGGGTTCAATTCCCAGCACTCATGACAGGCAACTCACAACCGTCTATAACTCCAGCTCCAGGAGATCCTGTGCCTTCTGTGGGCAGTGCGTGCACATGCAGATATCCAAGCAAACGCACACACATGTATAAATAAAAATAAAAATTTTTTTAAATTTTAAATCATAAGTAGCATGGCTTTTCACCAAGCCCTACCTCTTTCGTTGTTTGTTTTGTTTTGAGACAGGGTCTCCCTGTATCCCCAACCAGTCTGGAACTATGTAGACCAGGGTGGCCTCAATCTCACAGAGATCCACCCGCCTCTGTGGGGAGTGCCACCACACCTGGCTTTAGGCCCTAACCACTGCCTACTGCCACAGCAGGGACCACATTTCTGACACCAGGACTCTTGGAAGACAAACCACACCAAACTGTAGCAGTATGTGTCTAGATAATGGATCTGCCAGTGGGTAAGATACGGAGCTAGGCGATGAGTGAAGGATTTATTTCTGGGATTCTGAGGCCCCACTGGGCAGTTCGTATACTGCTTTTGCCTGTGCTTGGTCATGTCACTGTTGAATGCCGACGTGTCTTGCCGTTGGCACTTGCAGTGAACTGGAGTATCTGGATGGCCTGGGAACAATGAGCCATAACCTGGAATTGTGAACTGAAATAAACTTTGTTCGTCAAGTGGTTTTGAAAGAATATTTTATCATAGCACCAGGGGAAGAATCGAAGACCATTTTGCTATGAACAAGCGGTACCTATGTGTTAACATGCTGTGCCATTTGCTTGTAATGACAAAGTTCAGTTTCTGAACACTACTTTTTCTGTTCGAGGGATCCCTTGCTTCCCAAAAGAATTGAACTGGAGAGACACCGAGTCCTGGCCGCTCTGCCAGCAGTGATGTGAGCCCTGGACTTAGGCTCTGCCCATCAGATGCACTTATCTGGGATTTTGAATCTGAAACTAATGGCACAAAGGAACAAAGACAGTAGACACTTCTTTCTGATGTTGGTGGCAGCAGCTTCAAGTTGGCAAGCAGAACTATGTCTGTGTTGCCAACCCTTGGAGCCAGCGTTGAATGCCAGAGAAGACAACGGTGCAGGTGTGGCTCCTGAGTTCAGTGTCTCTCTGCACACCGGCTCTCTGGTTCCATTTTGATTGTGGTTTTTATTTATTTAGTTTTTGGTCTTATTGAGACAGGGTCTCCTTGTAACCCCAAGTGGCCTGGAACTCAGAGATCATAAATTAAAAAAAAAAAAATAGTAGTACTCAGGAGGCTGAGGC